AACGTCAGTAATTGGACCACAGGCATAAAAAAATTACTGAACCTTTTGGAAATTAGTGATGTTTGCGAAAAAACCAGTATTATCCCATTAGCTACAAAAAAACTAAAAAATATGTTTGAGAAACACTGCACAGAAACAATGTATAATGACAATAAAGGCACTAATCACAAAAACAAACTTCGTACCTACAGACAGCTGAAAACTGATTTTGCACTTGAAAAATACCTTGAAATTATTAAAAACCCCATCCACAGATCATCTATAACTAAACTGAGGATAAGTGCCCACATACTTCAGATTGAAGTTGGGCGATATCACAACATAGATGTCTTAAATAGAACATGCCCTGTCTGTGACTCCAATGAAATTGAAGATGAAGAACACTTCCTCTTCAATTGTAACCAGTACAAATTTGAAAGAGATGCTTTGTTTGAAAACGTAAACTTATCCGGTAATCTGAAAGCACTTCTCAATAACAAAAATTCTGAAACCGTCCAAGCAATTGCCAAGTTTATCAGCGACTGTTTCAATAAAAGAGAGAATTTCATGAAAAGCAATTTACCAGCTGCCTCAAAATAACACCAAAAAATATTTATATAATAATATTTTCACAGTATTACTATTTATTTCTTTTTTATTATTATTATTATTATTATTATTATTATTATTATTATTATTATTATTATTATTATTATTATTACTTATGTATTTTATTGTTCCTTATATCTTTATTGTATTCTAATCTAGATCCCAGAAGGGATACGATATCAATAAAGGTTGTTATTATTATATTACACTTGGAACAAAACAGTATATATGCCATCATTAACTTGAAGAATACAAAACTAATGAACCAAACTAGGAAAGTACAGTGTCGTGTTGTCGTGTCAATCCCCATACTTTACTAACTGAGCGAATACTAGCACAAGGGCCACTACATCCTTCAGAGAGTGACTACAATTACATTATTGTTTCAATGTTGTTTTAATATTTAACATCAGCTGCTTGAACGCGATCTTCATTACACCATCGCGGAATCACCGAATAAAAGCTTGCCCATTTATTATGGGGTGAGAACACCGCCAAAATTATCTTGGTGTCTTTATGTGGACATTATGTCATCATTGTGGTCATTATGTCATCATTATTATGTCATTATTGGGTTGTTTGGTTGTTATTTGGGCATTATGTTATTATTATTATGTCATTATTTCATTGTTATTGTTTTGTCATTCAAATATTTGGTTATTATAATGCTATTGTATGGTTATTTGGTCGTTATTGTCCAAATATGCATTTAATTGGTTGTCTCGACATTTAATTGTTTTGATATTCCTCCGATATGTGATTGTCTTGACATTCTCTCAACATTGTCTCCGCATTCTCTCAACTTTGTCTTGACATTCTCTCAACATTGTCTTGACATTCTCTCAGCATTGTCTTGACATTCTCTCAACTTTGTCTTGACATTCTCTCAACATTGTCTTGACATTCTCTTGACATTCTCTCAACATTGTTTCCGCATTCTCTCAACTTTGTCTTGACATTCTCTCAGAGAAT